GTCTGCCCTCCATTCTCTGGACTCCATATCCTTGTCTACAGCTTCAGAAGTGTACTTATCAGAGACCAGGGCAGATCTAGGAATCTTAGAGAGATCAAGGATACTAGGGACATACCTAAACATAACAAAATCAATATACAGCAAGCTGATTGCTAACATCAAATTTAATGGAGAGAAACTCAAGTCAATTCCACTCAAATGAGAAACAAGGTAAAGTTGTCCATTCTCTTTATTCCTATTCAATATAGTACTTGAAGTTCTAGCTAAAGCAATAAGACATCAAAAGGAAATAGTGTGGATATAAATTGGAAAGAAAGAAGTAAAAGCATCTTTATTTGCAGATTATATGAGCGTATACATAAGCAACCTCAAAAACACTACTAGGGAACTCCAACAACTGGTAAACACTTATAGACATATGGCTGGACACACGATTAACTAAAAAAAATCATTAGTCCTCTTATATACAAATGATAAATGGATAGAGAAAGAAATAAAATCAACACATTCTGCAGTAGCCTCAATAATACAAAAATATATTAGTTTAACTTTAATGAAGCAAGTGAAAAAGTCTTAAGAAAGAAATTGATGAAGATATCGGAAGATGGAAATTTTGCCCATGCTCATGGATCTGTAACAGTAAAAAATCAATCTATATATTCAATGTAATCCCCATTAAAATCTCAACACAATTCTTTACAGGCATTGAAAGAACAATGCTGAATTTCATATAGAAAAACAAAACAAAAAACAAAACAAAACAAAAAACAGAATAGCTGAAACAATCTTGTCCAAAAAGAACTGCTGAACTGATCACCATCCCTGATTTCAAGCTCTGCTATAGAGTTGCAGGTGGATCAATGGAATTAAGCCAAAGACATACGAACACCTGATTTTCAACAAAAAGACAAAATTATAAACTATAAAAAAGAAAGTTTCTTCAACGAACAGTGCTGGCATAACTGGATGTCAACATGTAGAAGATTGCAAATGGATCCATATTCATCACCCTGCACAAAACTCAAATTCAAGCGGATCAAATACATCAACATAAATTCATAATGCTGAAACTGATAGAAGAGAAAGTGGGAAATAATCTCAAACACATTGGCACAGGAGACAACTTCCTGAACAGAAAACCAATGGTACAGGCACTAAGATCAACAATTAATAAATGGAACTTCATGAAATTGAAGTTTCTGTAAGGCAAAGGACAGTGTCAATAGGACAAAATGGCAGTCTATGGAACAGGAAAAGAGCTTCTCTAACCCTACATCTGACAGAGGTCTGGTTCCAAAAAATATAAAGAACTCAAGAAACATTGTATCAATAAACCAAATAATCCATTTAAAAATGGGGCACATAACTAAATAGAGAATTCTCAACAGAAGAATCTCAACTGGCAGAGAAACACACAAGGAGATGTTCAATGTCCTTCACTACCATGGAATTGCAAATCAAAACGACTGAGATTCCATCATACATCTGTCAGAATTGCTAAGATCAAAAAACACAGGTAACAGTTCATACTGGAGAGACTATAGAGAAAGGGGAACACTCTTCCACTGCTGGTGGGAATGCAAACTTGTACAGCCACTTTGGAAGTCAGTGTGGTGGTTTCTTAGAAACCTGGGTATCTACCTGCCACATGAACAAGCTATAACTCTTTTGTGCATATACCCAAAAGATGTCCAATCATACCACAAAGACACTTGTCCAACTATGTTCATAGCAGCATTATTTGTAATAGCCAGAACCTGAAAACAACCTAGATGCCCATCAACCAAAGAATGGATAAGGAAAATGTGGTACTTTTACACAATGGGGTTATTACTCAGCTGTTAAAATAGACACTGGGAAATTTGAAGGTAAATGGATGGAACTAGATGAAGTCATCCTGAGTAAAGTAATCCATGCTGAGTAAGACAAACATGGTATGTACTCACTAATAAGTGGATATTAGCTGTAAAATAAGGGATAGCTATGCTTTAACCCACAGACCCAAAGAGACTAGGTCAGGGAGGGTTTGTGAAGGGGTGTGGGGAGACACCCAGATCTTCCTGGGCAAGGAAAATGGAGATTTCATGAGTGGAATGAGGGCAGGTGGAGATAGGAACATGAGCAATCAAGTTGGGAGGGGATGGTCACAAAGTGGGAGAGTGATAAGGGGTACTGCTGGAGCAGAGGGCATTTTGTGTGGGCTGGAAGCCTGACTCAGGGGACTCTACCAGGTGTCTGCAGGGAGGATACCAGCTTAGACTCCTTAGTGGATAATTAGCCTGAAGTGGCCACCTCCTGTGACCAGATTGTAGAAGCCAGAAGAATCAAGTATAACACAAGAAAACGCACATGTCCCGCGCTACCGTCTCGCCAGCAAGAACGACGTGGCACACTCAGGATCCTTCTGCAGTAAAGCTTTAATGCATCTTGAGAGGGAGAACATAAGCTTACAGAGCGGAGAAGCCAAACATCCAAAACCCAACCCTTATATAGCTTTACAACCTTCGCCTCGGACGTGTCACCTCCTGATTGGCTGCAGCCCATTGGCCCATATGACGCCACGGGAGAGGCAGAGCCCAAGGGATGGAAAGTTACCCAGCGCCTGCGCACTAGCTTGTTTACCATTTGGTGCCTGCTGGATGCAGGCGCCATCTTGTAATGGAAAATACAGGGACGGCTCCCTACACCCACAGAATTAACTAACCTGGGTTCATAGGGATTCACAGAGACTGAACCAACAACCAGGAAGGCTCCATGGGACTGGCATGGGAACTCTGCATTGTTACAGCTGTGTATCTTGGTTCTCTTGTGGAACTCCTAACAGTGGGAACAGGGGTTGTCTCTGATAGTTTTGCTGCCTTTTGGGAACCTATTCCTCATACTGGATTGCCTTGCCCAGCCTTAATACATAGGGAGGTGCTTAGTCTTACTCCTACTTGATATGCCATGTTATTTTGATACTCATGAGGGGCCTGGCCTTCCCTGGATGGAGATGGAGGAGATGATTGGTGAGTGGGAATGTGGGGGTGGGATGAAGCTCAGAGGGGAGAATGGGTGAAGGCTGCTAGTGGGATGGAAAATAAATAGATGAATAAAGGATAAAGGAAAAAAAATAAATCTAACGACTCCCATATATATTTATGTATTTAAATAAACATAAAATGTTTCCCTATGACTTTTTCAATCATTGTTACTCTCTTTTATCCCTCCTACCCCCTCTTTATAAGCATCAGTACTGCTCTTCCCCATTTTCCCATTTCTTCTTTTGTAGCACCTATATCTTACTACCCTCTTATCCAAATCGCCTTCTCTGACCCAAAACTATGGTGTTTATAGGAAAATGAATACAACTTGAAGTCATGTTAAGCACAAGAAACCAGAATATGAAACCCATATTCTGGCAAGCATAGACCACACTGATCCCTCGATACTAGGCTTGAAAATTTTGCATAATTTTCTTTGCTACTCACTCACAATATGTGAGTTCTTACAACATATCTATCATTGTTCCTGGAAGCACTAGAGTTGAAGGTTAAAAGTAAATTCTTGTTTAATATTCCTTCCTTCTCTTACTCAAATACCCCATCCTTTCTGAATTAGCTCAAGTACCACCCTGTGACACTGAAGTAAAAATCTCCCTTTTGTTCATGACATTTGACTGTGTATAGGTTCCATGGTGCATCTCTGCACACATTTACTCTATCTGCAAAGGATATTCAAGGGCTCATTTTCAGAATGAAAGTTTATTTAATTCAATCAACTGAACAAAGTTTTTACTAAGTATATTATACATTTGTCTGATTTTAGTTAACATGATATATAAAAGTCCTTCCTTTTAAAAACTACATTACACAATGTAAAGTGACAAATGAGTATATGTATATGTCTGTCAATTACAAGCATTACAAAGAAATGAGAAGTAATGTGAGAAATAGATGACAGATAGATAGACAGACAGACAGACAGACAGACAGACAGACAGACAGATAGATAGATAGAGGAGTTAAGTACATTAATATTAATCTTACAACAACAGTGTCTGGATGAGTAAAAGAAGAAAAAAGTACCAGTTATTACTGTTATAGCCATTCTTGTATGAATAATGTGGTTTGATTTTTCTCACTTCCCAGTATTAAGGATTTTTTCCATTTTTAATTTTTTATTTCATTTTACATTTCAACAACAGTTCTCCCTCTCATCCTTCCTCCCAACCCTCTCACCTTCATCCACCCCCTTGCCTTCTTCCACTCTCCCTTATCTCCACCCTAGTCCACCCCAAGTCCACTCCTCCTCACAGGTAAGGACACCCATAAGGAGTAAACATAGTCTGGTACAATAGTTGGGGCAGAGCCTGGCCCCTCTCCCATAAATTACAAATATGGCTTGTCTTTCTCTTAAAAGAAATTAAAAGTATAATAGATGCCTTTATAAGAGCATCCTGAGGAGTATTAATTCAAATGAGTCATTTATTGTTATCAGAGATGGACTACTGGCAAAACTCAGTCAACAAACTCTCCCACTATGAGATATGGTACAATTTCCCATAACAACCATGGCCCTAGACTTGAGAATTAATAAAAATTTCTGTGTGGAAAGTTTTCTAATACACTAAACTCATACTATGAAATACTCAGATATCCCATCTCTTACTCTATTCACTTGTATTGAGGAGTATGGGTTACTGGTACAACTGATGAAAATTACATATGCCAGAACAATTTATCTTCCCCAGACCTACCAGAAAGGAAAATACCCCTGTACTGGAATGAGAAGACTCAAAAATCTGGAACATCAAAGACCATAGATCACCATTGGCCTCAGAGAACTTACAGTACTTTCAGAATTATGAAGGATTTCAAAACTCCAGTATCAGGCGGGGTGAAAGGCAATAACCCCAAGGGATTATTCTAAAATATGGGTGGAGGAGGAAGTGTGTGATAAGACTAGAATTTTGAAAAAATACAGCTAAGTAAAGCAGAAACTAGCAACAGAACCAGGAAGATGGAAGAAAAAACAACACTGGCTTCACATAGGATGGAGATCTTGTTAGTCCTGCTGCTCTTGGGCCACCTAATAGTACTCACCTACGGTAAGGTAGCACACTGATGCCTGTCTACAACTTCTACCTCTGACAGAGGACATGGGTGTTGATGTTAAGTATTTACTGAGAAAAGCTTGTCAGTCATATTACTGTGACTGCAATTTTCTGAACTTTGTGCAGATGGGAGGGGAGTCATTGGAATCTGGTAAAAGTTCCAGAAGTCGTCTTGGGTAGAAATTGAAATGCTTCTTCTCTTGGAAATTATTTGTATAATTTTCCAGTGTTTCAGGGATATCACACAAACCTCCTATATTCTCTTTTTTCTCTTGAAATTCTACAATAATGACTAACTTCTCATTTCCAAGTTTTGATTCTTGCTACAATATACAGCTCCCAATGAATAAATGTTTAATAAGTATGCTTGAGCACTTAGAAGGCAGAGGCACTCCAATTGATCTCTGTGAGTTCAAGGGCACATTGGTCTATATAGAAAGTTTCAGGCCATCTTGCACTACATGGTGAGACTCAGTTTCTAAATAAATAAAAGTAACATGTACTATCAATTAGAATTATTTATAAGTGCTTAGTATTTGCTATTCATACACTTTCAGAGCACAGACATTTACAGATTTCCACAAGACTCTATCCAAGAGCATGGCTAAATATTGCTTGTGCTGTACTAAATCCACTTCTCTCTTATTTCTATCCAAGGACTTCTCACTATCAACCCAGAACACACATTCTTCTTTTTTCCGTGACAGCACTTCAAATGTCTGAAGAAAGGAAGAAAAACTGTCCCCTCAATTCTCCTCTTCTCCAAGCTAGCTTCTTCAACTAAAGGACTTGGTATATTACTTACTGCTGAGACAAATCACAACCTTATGGACACAGTATCCCAGTTGTAGGGGCTGTTTGTGGGAATCTAATTCTAGATATACATCCCAGTGCTGGGCTATCTCATAGGGGCATTTCTGTGACTCTTCCTCCACACTCATTTATAATTCAAGGAAATGAAATGCCTTTCAGAAAAGTAAGCACAAGTAAGAAGTAAGTGTGACTCAGTATGGAGCAAAGGGATTCTTTCTCAATTGCTGCTTTTTTCACCTTTCTAGAGGGCAAGACTGGATAAATCATTACTTGAAGTAGCTAGCAATACTGAATTATGATTATTTGCTCTCTTTTCTTTTTAACCAAATTGTCCTATCTATTGTCTAAAATATGCATGAATGTTCCAAGATTTCCTGATGATGGTGAGGCCCTTAGAGTCAACTTCAGTGTCTCCATTAATAGATACCAATACACTTAGCAGTATATCCAGGAAGTTGGATCACATAAGCTCACTCTGCTCACAAGGCATCATATTCTACATGCTTAACTGAATATGTGCTAAATAAAAAAGATTTATTCAGTAATGCCTTCCATTTTGAAAACATATCTACCAGGAAAGACATTGCCTAAATACAACCCCTGTCCCTAAATACAAAATCATCAAGATATGAGCTTATGTATGAAAAATTCTAATAAAATGCAATGGGTCCCCATCTCTTTTTTTGCCTCTGGGATCCTCTCTCCATCCCATCAAGGAGCAATTTCCTTTGTTTCTACCACAATCACTAGCACAACAAGCTCTTGAAATTTACTCAGGTTCCTTAATTCTCCAGACCAAGCATAGATGAAATCTTTGCCCCTCTCAGGATATAATTCCAATATTTTTTCATAAGAACCAAAAGAAGTGAAAAGAAAGGACTAAGGATGAAAAATCAGCTAGCCTTACTTGCAAAGTACAAGTTTCAAACCTAATAGCTAGTGGCTTGGTTAAATAGGAATATGTATCCAGGCTTTTTCCTTCACTGTTTTATTCCCCTATTATCTCTTTAACAGTTGCAGAAAAGAACTTGAGTTTGTATCCCAATCACTGAGGCTTTCTCTTTAGTGAGATATATATATATATATATATATATATATATATATATATATATATATATATATATATATATATATATATGACAGGAAAAGAAAAAAGAAAGTTAATAAAGATAATAAACCAGAAGACTGTTTCAGGCATGTATATACCCATAATAATCTACTCTTCATCATTCTTCCTCCATCTTCCTCCATCCCACTTAAAAACAGTTAAAGAACAGCTGTAGACATGTAAAATATCATAGAGTCCCTAAAGATTAGTCTACCATAACTCTCCATATACTACTTGGGAAGAATATTTGGTCCTACAATTTACTCAGAGTCACCTCCAAGCAAGAGAGTGCCGTAAAGGGGACCTGAAACCACTATAGTTTAAGAATGTTAAGGACTCTATCCCACAAACTGACTTGTATTGATTAGAAAGGTAACATAAGAACCCAGGGATGATGAAAGTATGATTAAAAGAAAAGTCTTTCTTAGAAAGCTTTTGACCCTGTCACTCACACCCTCACTCTGGTGAATATACCATCTGTGCTTGCTTATTTTCCTTTGTTCCCTGTCTATAGGCCATCCCATCCTAAAAGCACCAGAGAGTGTGGTAGGGACCTGGAAAGGGGATATGACACTTCACTGCATCTATGATCCCCTGAGAGGCTACAGTCAAATTTTGATGAAATGGAAGGTACAACGTGGCTCTGACCCAGTCACCATCTTCCTACGGGACTCCTCAGGAGACCATATCCAGCAGGCAAAATACAGAGGTCGCCTAAAAGTGAGCCACAACGTTCCAGGGGATGTTTCTCTACAACTGAATGCCTTACAGATGGATGACAGGAATCACTACACATGTGAAGTCACCTGGCAGACCCCTGATGGAAACCAAGTGGTGAGAGATAAGATTATTGAGCTCCGTGTCCAGAAATGTAAGTCACAGTGAAAACACAAGGTATTGGCAAGCAAAGCCACAATAAATTACTGTAATCTTAGACATGTTTGAGAAGTTGAGAAGCCTTTGTTTCTATGTTCTTAGGTTCTCTCTAGTTATTTTTCTTTTCTTATTTTACATATCATTTCCAGTTCCCTCTCCTTCCTATCCTCTCTTGTGTCTCTAGGCAAATGGAATATCCCTCCATGGGGAATGTGCTCCCAAAGTCCTATCGTGCATCAGGGATACATCCTGTTTCCACTGTCAGAAGTCTCATAGTCTGCCCAGGCATTCTAACTGAGACCCACGTTCAGGCTATCTGGGTCCGTCCTATGCTGGTTTCCCAGCTATCAGTTTGGGGGTCCATGAGCTCCCCCTTGTTTAGATCAGGTGTCTCTGTAGATTTCTGTAGCCTGGTCTTGACCCCTTTGCTCATAACTTCTCCCTTTCTGCAACTGAATTCCAAGGGTTCAGCTCAGTGTTTAGCTGTGAGTGTCTGCTTCTGTTTCCATCAGCTACTGGTTGAAGGCTCTAGGATAGCATATAAGGTAGTCATCAATCTAATTATTGGGGAAGGGCATTTAAAATAGCCTCTCCACTATTGCTCAGATTGTTAGTTGGGGGTCATTCTTTTAGATCTCTGGACATTTCCCTAGTACCAGTCTTCTCTTCAAATGGTTCTCCCTAGTTTTTTGTGCTAATCACAGGATTTAAATAGTGTTGGGAAATAAAAATGCATTACTTTTAAGAACCTCTTCCTCTGCCACCCAATCTCTCCTATATTTGAAAAAGTATTTTTGAGAGATATAGTTTCCTATTAGCTGCACTTCCCATTTTACCACAAAAGTTTGAAAACTGAAATCAGCATTGTCCTTTGTGTAACAAAAGCCCAACCTCTGTCCCTTCACACCTAACCATATAAAATTCTGTGCAGCAGTGGACCTTGCTGCCAATGCTTCCTCCTTCTTTTAGCCAGTTTTCCTTGGGTTTTCTACAGTTTGTCTGAGTGATTATTGCTAGATTATTTTCTGGCTCATCTTCTATTCAATACTATAAGTGTTCTGAAAGTTATATTATAGTTGTTTTACATCTAGAGTAGGTTCACTTCATTCAGCTTGAATATTTTCATTTCTAACCTTCCAGTCTACAGGTCGTCTTTCTCTTCACACTTTTAATTATTTTTTTTCCAGTACAGTAATTTTTGGTTGGATATAATACCATGAGAAATTATAAATTTTCCTTCTGTTTTAGAGGTTGTAACTCGGAAATCATTGCCTCTAATCATATCTTGAAGGTTTTTTGCTTGTTTGTTTTTTTCATATGGCTTCTAATAGATTCAGCATTCCCAATCTCATCTCACATTGATGTCTTTAATCCACTTTGGTTGATTTGTACACAGGCTAATAGAGGTCAGGTTTCATTCTTAATGATGCCCACTTTCCCTAGCACCATTTATTGAAAAGGTTTCTGTGATGTCATTTTGTACATTGACAAGAAATTAGTTTGGTTTCAGACATATCAGTTTATTTCTGAGATTTCTACTCTTTTTTTTTTTACTGACCTAGGTGTCTTTGTATAGTAGTATTGTGCTGGCTTTGGTAATTGTACTACTGTGATATCTCCCAAAATCAAATGTTGTAATGATCTCAGCCTTCTATGAGAATTGTGCATCTAAATACTTTAGTCATTTCAGACTAACATTTCCATAATTATTCTTGAGTTGTGAATATAATTTATTTTTTTGGAGTACTAGAATCTTTTAAAAATGATTTTATCATTATTATTGTTGTTTACATCCTGACCACAGTTTCTCCTTCATTCTCTCCTTCTAGTCTCTCCCCCATCCTCCCCTCTGTGTCCCCTGACAATCCGTTCCTCCTGCATTTCTATTCAGAAAAGGGCAGTGCTCTCATGGAATCAACCAAGCATAGCATATCAAGTTGCAGTAAGACTAGGAACTTCCCCTTATATTAAAGTTGGACTAAGGCAACCCAGTATAAGGAATAGGGTCATGAAACCCAGAAAAAGAGTTGAAGACAGCCTCTGACCCCACTGTTAGGAGTCCCACGAGAAGGTCAAGCTACACAACTGTCACATATATGTAGATGGTCTGCGTCCGTCCCATTCAGGTACACTGGTTTTCATATCAGTTCAGTCTCTGTGAGCCCAGATTAGATGATTCTATGGGTTTTCTTATGGTCCTTGATGCCTCTGGCTCTTACAGTCTTTCCTCTCCTTCCACAGGATTTTCTGAGCTCTGTCTAATGTTTGGATGTAGATACTGAATTTTATTCCATCCATTGCTGGGTGAAACCTCTCTGATGACCCTTGGGCTAGGCACTAATCTATGTGTATAGCAATATATCATTAGGAATCATTTCATTAACTTTTTTTCCAGCCATCTTTGTTTCTACCCTAGGTCTCTGGGATATCCAGCCTCTGATTCCTGCCACTCCAGGCACTGCCAGGGTCTCAGTCATTGGTTTGTCACTCTCATAAGTACTGTACCAACTTTACCCCAGCATAGCTTGTAGGTAGAATAAATTGGAGGTTGAAGGTTATGTGGCTGGGTTAGTCTTATGAAGTATTTTATTTGCAAGTATTTCCCCCACACACATTCTTCATGCTGTATGCCCATGCATGTATGTTGTCTGTAGAGGTCAGAAGAGGGATAAGATGCTCTAGAACTGGATGGATGTAAGCCATCACATGGGTGCTGAGAACCAAACCCAGGATCTCTGTCAGAGCAGACAGTTCTCTAAAGGGTTAAGCCATATCTCTGACCCAACATGTTGTCTTGTTACTTTCAGAATAGTAACCTTTAAGGCTCCAAAGTTTTTCATTTTTTTTTTGAAGTTTAGTCTGTTGCTTTATCTTGGTACTTGTGTTTTTGTTGCATATCCCACCAGACGCAACGTTCCTTTACTTACTCAAGGACTGATAGAACTGAATAGTGAAGCCACTTTGGCTTAATCTTTATTTTATATATAGATACCATTTCCCTCTCCCTCCCTCCCATGCCCTCCGACCACCCTCCCATCCCATCTTCCCCCTACACCACAGGAACGGTGTTGCCTTCCAGGAAGGATCAACAAAATCTGTCAAATCATTTGGAATAGGGACTAGGCCCTCCATCCTGCCTCTAGGCTAAGGCAGTATCCCTCCATAGGGAATGTGCTTCCAAAATCCTTTTGTGCACCAGGGATACATCCTGGTTCCACTGTCAGAGGTCCTATAGAATACCCAAGTCTTCCAATTTAGACCCATGTTTAGGGGGGTCTGAATGAGTTCACTGCAGGTTTCTCAGCTATCAGTCTGGTCCATGAGCTCCTCCTTGTTCAGGTCAGCTGTCTCTGTGGGTTTCTGTAGTCTGGTCTAGTCTCCATTTTATTATCACCCCTCCCTCTCTGCATTTGGATTCCAGTTTGGCTCAGTGTTTAGCTGTGGATGTCTGCTTCTATTTCCATCAGCTAGTAGATAAGGGCTCTATGATGGTATATAAGTTAGTGATCAATCTCATCATCAGGGAAGGGCTCAGATTGTTAGTTTGGGTTATCCTTGTAAGTCTCTGAACATTTCTCTAGAGTCAGTTTTCTATTCAAAACTATAATGGCTCCCTTATTTATGGTATCTCCCTCTCTCTTTTCTCCCTCGTCCATTCCTCTCCTGACTCAATCTTCCCAGTCCCACATGTTTTCCTCTCCACCCCTTCTCTTTCTGCAAGCTCCCTCTCCACTCACTATCCCCCCTACTCCAAATATGCTCAGGAGATCTTATTCCATTCCCCTTCTGTGAATCTCTTTGGTTCTTCCTTGTATCCTGTTTTCTATGGTGGTGTGAATTATAGACTGGTGATCCATTGCTCTATGCCTAAAATTCATATATGAGTTAGTACATTCCATGTTCCTCTTTTTGTGACTGGGTTACCTCATTCAGGGTGGTTTCTTCAAGATCCATTCATTTGCCTGCAAATTTCAAGATTCCATTGATTTTTCCACATAGTATTATTCCATTGTGTAAATATGCCACATAGTCTTTATCAATAATTCAGTTGAGGGGCATCTAGGTTGCTTCCAGGTTCTTGATATTACAAATAATGCTGTTACAAACATAGTTTAACAGATGTCTTTGTTGCATGGATGTGGATAATTTGGGTATATGCCTAAGAGGGGGATTGCGTCCTGTGGTAGACTGATTCCCATTTTCCTGAGGAACTGCCATACTGATCTCTAAAATGGCTGTGCGAGTTTGCATTCCCACCAGCAGTGGAGGAGTGGTCCCCTTTCTCCACACCTTTCCCAGCATAAGTTGTCATTGGTGTTTCTAAGTTTAGCCATTTTGGCAGGAGTAAGATGGTATCTCAGAATTATTTTGATTAGCATTTCCCTGGTAGCTAAGGATGTTGAGTGCTTTCTTGAGTGTCTTTAAGCCTTTTTGATTTCCTCTATTGAGAATTCTTTCTTCAGTTCTGTACCCCATTTTTAATAGGGTTTCTTTGGTGTTTTGGTAACTAGTTTCTTGGGTTCTTTGTATATTTTGGAGGTCAGCCCTCTGTCAGATGTAGGACTGGTGAAGATCTTTTCCCAGTCTGTGGGCTTCCATTTTATCTTGTCAACTATGTCCTTTGCCTTAAAGAAGCTTCTGTTTCAGGAGGTCCCATTTATTAATTGTTGATCTCAGTGTCTGTGCCACTGGAGTTATGTTCAGGAAGTAGACTTCTGTACCTGTTTGTTCAAGGGTCCCTCCCACTTTCTTCTCTAAGAGGTTCAATGTGGCTGGATTTATGTTGAGGTCTTTGATCCATTTGAACTTGGTTTTGTGCATGGCGATAGACATTGGTCCTATCTGCAGTCTTCTACACACCATCATCCAATTATGCCAGCACTATTTGTTGAAGATGCTTTCCTCCTCCCATTGTATAATTTAGGCTGTTTGTCAAAAATCAGGTGTTCATAGGTGCTCTATTAATATCAGTATATTTTTAAAAATGAATTTTTTTCTCCTTCACAAAAGGCAATTTTATGATCACAAATTTCTGTTCTTTGTACATAGGAAAAAAATTTGCAAATATAATTTGTCTTATACCAGTATATCTTGGCTATATGTTGAAATTTTTCTGTATGTTACAACTTTTCTTTTTCTTCACATATTTTATTGTCCATATTTTTCTTTTTATTTATTTGTTTTTTCTTATCTTACATATCAATCTCTTTCCCTCTTTCTCTCTCCCTTTCTCTCTCCTTCCCATGTCCCCTGACCATCCTCCCATCCCATCCCACCCCCCACTCCACAGCATCTTTTGGCATTCTTTTACTTTAAAACTTTTTTTCTTTGAGTACTCTACTAATGTTTTTGATCTCTTGCCTTTTTGAGGGGCCCTCCACGCAGCACTGAAAGAAATCAAACATGGAGGTTCTTTCTTAGTTATGAATGCCTGGCCTTGGCTTTTTTTCTAGCAAGATTTTCTTAAGTTATCCCATCCACCTTTTTCCTCTGAGATTTTATCTTTCTTACTTCTATATATTTTACTTTTCTTCTTACTTCGTGCCTGGCTCGGTGGCTCTGTGGCTGGCCTTTCTCCTCCCCTTGTTCTCTTGCTCCTTTCTTCCTTTTCCTCATTTATCCTTCTATTTATACACCCTGCCTTCCAGCCCCACCTGTGCTTCCTCTTGCCTCGCTCTTGGCCATTGAGGTCTTTATGAGACCATCATGTGTTTTAGACAGACAAAGAATCACAGTTTTACAGAGTTTAAAAAGATGCAACATAAATAAAAACAACACTCCTTTAAATATTATTCTACCACAGAGTATTAAACAAGCACATCACATAACTAGATCTGATCATTTGAGACTCTGTGCCTTTAAATATGAAATTTTCTTCTCATATTTAATCCAGTGATTAATAAAGTAGGATATATATTGCTCATTTTATATTGTAGTCTTTATACTTTATACTTATTTCTATATTTCTCCATCAGTTCTACCTTTGATGCTTAATATACATATACAATTTCTAGTGTATTACATAATTCTATTATTGTTCAGTTTACTGTGATAGCTAGTTTTATGTCAACTTCATAGAAGCTAGAGTCATTTTGGATGAGGTAAAGTCAACTGAGAAAATGTCTGAGCAAGCCTGTGGTGTATTTTCTTGGCTGATGATTGTTGTGAGGAAGCCCAATTTACCACAGGCAGTACCATCCACTGGGCTGGTGGTCCTGGGGGCTATAAGGAAGCAGGCTGAGTAAGCCATGAGAAAAATCCAGTAAGCAGCATTCCTCCATGGCTTCTGATTCTGAAGTTCCTGCCTCTAGGTTCCTATCATGAGTCCATGACATGACTTCTCTTAAGTAATAGAGCATGACATGAGTTTTATAAGCTGAAAGAAACTCTTTCCTTCTCGGGTTTCTTTGGGTCATGGTATTTTATCACAGCCATAAAAGTCTTAAGACATTTACTAAGTAGTTTCATTATTTCTATCTGTGGAATATTATCAGTTCCTAATTTATTGTATTCATTCCCGTTTAATTTCATAGTATACAAAAGGATGTTTATATACAGTTCAATTTCTTATCATTTAATTCTATCATTACTGCAAATTACTTCTTAATATATTATAATGGTGTGAGTATTGATTTTGAATTATTGTTTTGTGGAGCTGGAGAGATGGCTTAGCCATTAAAGGCTGGGAACACAACCACAGATAGTATTGTTTTATAAAGTGTTTTGTTCTTTTAGATTTTAAGTCAGGTTGGAAAGGTATGTTTACACTCAACATTCACCTCTATAGTTACCTATACTGGTGCTTTTTTATTTGTTCACATTAGTTTTGGATATGATCTACTGCCCCTTTATTTTAGCTTAAAGAATGCTTTATGACATTTCTTATGGGTCCTACCCACTAGAGAATATTTCTTACAATCATTACTTTTCTGGGAAATATCTTTATTTCTCCTGCATTTTCATTTGGGGATTGTTTGTATTTTACATGGGGGTTTTCTATGGTGCCCAAACTAAATTTATACTTGTAGTTGAGACTATGAGGGCAAACTTACTCTACTTATTTGTTTTTATGTGTTTGATTGTTTGTTCAAGATGGTGATTTTTAAAAACTAATTTTGTATAGTCATTTGAATTCAGTGTCTCAAGGTAGCCACTAAATTCACTATTTCATTAGCTTAGAAGTCAGCTAATAACTGGAATGAGATTTTCTTAACTGCCAAGAGCAAATCATATTATTTACCAGAGAACTATGTTGCTTGTTTAGCAATGGTATCAATGAGTATCCAGTTTACAATTTTGGCACATTGTTTATTCTCTGTTATATGAAATCTGAAGGCTAACCATAAGTGTGACCTTATGCATTTCTTACATTTTTCTGGATATATATAACTATAAGAAAGGATATGACATCCTTGATTCCATCCTTGATTCAGGGAAGTTAGCAAACATTTCAAACTTCCTGGAGATGTCGCATTTTTAAGCTTTCCTTTTAAATTTTTTGGTTACTCTCTTCTTTCTCCAAACTGTTATCCATTGCTGTAGGCCTCTGTGTGACAAATTTTTTCTTAGCCATCAAGAGAGACTTTTAGTACAGATGCTAAGTAAAACAAGCATTTGAAGTCACATTTCTCAAGGAATCATTAGATAGGTCAAATAAAGATAGTATTTTTAGAATGAGCTGCTTACTCCTGCACCTGGAATAGGGTATTAGATTTTATTACTTCTGAGGGAAGTTGAAATGCCACAAATCTTCATGTCATTACTAAAACTAGGCTGTTTTTCTTACATAAACACCCTAAGTTCCTATGAACCAGTTTGCAAAATTCTGTAGAAAATAACGATATCAAAATGGTTCAGTTCTGCCTTTATTTCTGAGAGGAAGTAAATTTTTAGAAGTAATTATTCACCATTTTCATTGAAGTCACTGAATAACACCTTCTTTGATAGACTTCTGGAGTCTTTCTCAAGGATGAATCACTATATTATAGATAAAACTTAGTGATTGCTAAGATGTTTCCTCAACCAAGTTTTCAGACCCTCTCAACTCTAGATATAGATATAGATATAGATTCTTTGAACCTTGACTTATGAACTCTACCTTAGAGTGATTTGTGAGGAATGATGAACAGGAATAGAAGTTTCCAACATCATGACTGGAGGGTTGAGAGATACAACCCAATTCCTAATCTTATTAGTATCTTCAACTGTTTATCTAAGGGTAACAGACTCCTTAACCATGCTCCTTTTTTTCCTTGCAGACTCCTCCAATCCACGTATAATCAATACTGAATCACTTTCAACCATGCAGTCCTCTTTGGAAGGTAAGTTTTACTAAGGCTTTGTTACAGAGTTCTTAAAAATGTTTAGAAACCAAGGATTTGCAATTACATTGATTTTGGGCAAAGATATCACTGTGTTACTCAGAGAGATCATAAGAGTAAAGAGACACAGCAAAGATTTAAGGGTAGTGAAAACATTGAATCATGAAATATACTTTTCTTTGTGAAAAAAGCAAAAAGAAAGCATTATATCACATTTTTTTCAAACATGATTTACTATGTGACTTTGAGCATACTACTTCTTCTTTGTACCTATTCTTTCCATTGATAACCACATATAGCAAAAAACAGATGTTTTGCCTCGTATTACAATATAGGCCAATGATATGGCTTGTTGTGGGAAATTTGATGCCACTGTGAAACCAAGAGAGTTTTAATAAAATCAACCCTGGATCAGGGAGCAGAGTCAGGTACTAGTTTACAAGAATTAGCCATAGAGAATACAGAGGACCCAAGAAGATGGATAAAGAGATGAATAGGGAGGAGTAGGGAGGGACTTAGTGATCCATAGTCTTTTTAGTTTGGAACAAATTGAGAGATTTCTCTTGCTCTGGCCAAAAAGGAAGACAAGATGGTTGCTTCTCAGCTCCTCTGAGCTACCACCCCAACATCTGACTCCCAAAACTTTAGTGTTAGATAGAACAAGGACACTTAGAGCTGGTGCTGGTGGGACCAGAAACTCCACCAGTCCATCTGTGTCCTGAGCAACAGAGTGCTGACTGCAGGGCAGCAAAGCTGCAGATGGCAGTTTAAAAAAAAAATCAGTAAATTCAGGTGTAGCCACTAAGCCAACTGAAAAATAATGACTAGATACCTTGGAAGCCTATATGATACCAACAATAAAGACATCAAGTCTTTTCCACCATCCCTGACCCTCACAGCTCTTCAGTGCAAGATGAAGCCTCTGACCTTCATTCTTTGTTCTCGCAGCAACAACTAATGTGAAATCAACATGTGACTGGACCACTAAGGTGAATGAAAAACTTGAGGAGACCACTAAGGTGAATGAAAAACTTGAGGAGACCACTAAGGTGAATGAAAAACTTGAGACCACGGCTGCCCCAGTGAATGAAAGACATGGACCAAGTAAGAGTAACACTGAGAATTCTTTCAATCTTCCTTGACTCTGAAATTTGTGACTCATTATAAGTTCTCTATATTTATCTCCACAAACCATTAAAGAAGAGCTCAAGAGCTAAATTGGTTAGGTAAAGGAGAAAGGAAAAGACAAAGATGTAAGAATGAAAAAAATTCAGATTGAGGTTAAAGAAAGTGATAAATGTGTTCCTCATTTGTTTTCTATTGTGATAGCACTACACTTCTCAAACACTGAACAAAAAAAGTAGGAGTAGGACCATGAACTCAACCATCTAACCTAAGGAGACAGGAAATAGAACAAGTAAAGTTCAAAACAGCCCTCCACTACTTTAATTCCTGACTAAGAGCTTTTGCAGTCCCTCACAGCTGAGTTTTATTCCCCCAAAGTCTCAAAGATTCACAAATTGGGAACTCACGGATTAAAATCTCAAAGAGAAAATACTCTGTATTATTTCATCACTAACTTCTAGTCAACCAATGTGCACTGACATGCATAAATTGATTCTTAAAATAATAAACTTATTTCATGTTAATAATTAGCTGCTACACTTAAACAATAACATTTCCATTTTCATTTGGGCTACTTTAGGCCATCCACCAGAATTCTCCAGATTATTTCATGGTCTTGCAACCAGTTGTTAATTCCAGATATCCAGAAGAACACCTATGACTCCAAATATACATCAAGTATCTGTTTTTATTATTCAGTATGAAATAGTTTGATAACGATTCCTCATTGTTTCATGCTCTGGCTTTTTATTGTTGAAGACACACTTTTTATGATATTGGGGATTGAACCAGTGGTCTCAAACATGTTAGGTAAATGATCTACTTATGAATAAAATAAAAAGCATAGCAGAAATCATCATGAAGAGATAAGACCAGGCAGAATAATGAATTTCACGGATGGGTGACAAGTTAAAAAAAAAAAAGTAACACATAAGGAAACATAAGGAAAACATTAATGAGCACAACTAAAATTAATAAATACAACTTTAGAAGTCAAGGATACATTCAGGAGAGCAAACCTAATAGTCCATACAGTTGAAGAAAGAGCAGAGATTAAATCAAAATCCTTAGACAATGTATTCAAAGAAATGATACCTAAGAATTTTCCAAATTTAAACAGACATATACATCCCAATAAAGTACTAAAAAGAAATACAGGGGAAATGCCAACTCAGAGAGAGGCAAAAATGTCCGCATAATATCAGATCTTTCATCAGCATCACTAAAATCTGGGAAAACATAGAATGATATACTTCAAGCTCTGAAAATATTCATTGTCAGCTGAGATTGGTATATTCATCAAATTTATACCTTAGGATTGATTGATAATAGGAGACATTAAGACCAGGAAATTGGTGACAGGACAGTTTCTACATGAACAGTTTGAGATGGCAAAATGCCCGAGAGCATATTGTGTTATGCTGTGAAAATGAAGCTTGAATTGTATTGGATACCTCAAGATGTGGATGATGCTAGAGTCATGAAACATCTGCCAAGGAGAACTATAGATAAGAAGCGGTAACAGCCCAAGAAAGAAATGCCTGTTGCAGGCAGCAAGGCAGGAGTGTCAGACTTGTATAACTCCCATAATTCCAGAAATGAGACCACATGATTTTATGTCTACCATGTTAGAGTTTAGTCTCTCTTTAGTCCATTATTTCCTTACTACCCCCTCCCCCATTTCTTGTTTTGGAATGGTAATGTGCATTCTGTGCCATTTGATGTTGGAAGAATGTAATCTGCTTTTTTATTTTGCAGGAGATTATGGATAAGAAATTTACTTGGGTCTCAGAAGAGACATTGGACTTTTAAATAGTTTTGAGAGTACCAGATTGTGAGGACTTTTAAAGTTTATCTAAGGGCATTTTGTATTATCATGTGGTCATAAACATATCAGGGTCAAAGAGAGGAATGTGATGGCTTGAATGTCAATGTCCCCTGTGGGTTCATTGAGTTTTTGGTCCCCAGTTGTGCCACTATTTAGAGAGATGGAATGGCCTTTCCAGAGAAAGTGTATCACTGGGGTTGCCCTTTGAGAGTTTTTAGTATCATTCCAGGTCCAGATTCCTTTCACTGCATTATGTTTGATGATGAAGAAAGTGATTGAACTCTCACCTTCCTGCTTCTGTTGCCATGCCCATGCTCATTGTCATGCTTCCCTGCCATGACATACTCTTATCCATCTGAAACCATAAACTTCTTCTTCTCTAAGTTGCCTTTACTCATGGTGTTTTATCATAGTAATAGAAAACTTACTACAATAAAGCATAGGTGTTTAGAGACTAATATACTTCTTATTATTTTTTTGGGTGATGGAGTGAAGCAGGTGGCAGACATCACACAGTTGAGAATACATAAGTCCAACCACAAACAAGAAACTAAGAGATAAACTGGAGGGTAGCACATGGCTTTGAAACCTCAAAGCCCACCCCCAGTGACATACTTCCTCCAGCATCACCATCCCTCATAATATTCCTCAAACAGCAACCAACTGAGAACCAAGCATTCTAAATTCCAAGACTCATGGGAGACACCACACTCAAGCTGTATTCTGCTCCCTAGCCTTAATAGTCTGTAGACCAGATCATAATACAAAATCCATTTAGTCTACCTTCCTAAGTACCCATAGTCTTGCACAGTCAAAATGCTGTTTAAAATGTCCAAAGTCTCCTCTAATTAAATTTATCCTTATGATTACATTGACCCCATCAGAAAATTACTATTAATATACTCTCTTAATTATAATGGGCTGTAAAATCAAAAGCAATTATATCTAACACATAATATACCCAGGTCTTCTAGCTGTACCATTACAAAAGTGAAAAATGGAGCATAGTAAGGAAATATTAGGCCAAAGCAAGACTGAAACCCAGAAGGACAAAGTCCCAAATACTCTAGTCCATAGCTCCATGTCTGATGTCTGAAGGCTTACATGGTTCTACTCCTCCAATTTTGCTGCCCACAAAACCATTCCCTGTCAGGATGTTTCCTCTCCCTTTCTACAGTGGCATTTCAAGACCACTTGACCTCTCAGAACTCTCATGAATGGACTTTCTTGCCACATTTTGCATGACCTTAGAGGCTATTTGAAGCCACAGGGGAAAAATTTATGACCCATTAACTTTCAAATCCTTCATTGTTCCACAGTCAGTTTCATGTGGACAGTGCTGCCAAGATTGACTGTCAATTTAATTATATTATCTCTATAGATATAGAGAAGGCATTCTATAAAGTTCAACACAGCTTCTTAATAAAAGTTCAGAAAAAAATCAGGAGCATACTGGATATACCTCAACACAATTAATGCTACATATGAAAATCTGCAGCTAACATTATACTAAGTTGGAAAGCTTAGAGCATTCTAAAATATAAAATGCAATAAATGTGTGTATCACCTCCAGTTTTATTAAATATAGTGTTCATAGCTGGGTAGTGGTGTACTCTTTTAATCCCAACACTTGGGAGGCAGAGGCAGGCAGATCTCTGTGAGTTTGAGGCCAGCTTAGCCTACAGAGCAAGTTCTGGAAAAGCTTCCAAAGCTACAGAGAAGCCATGTTTTGAAAAACAATAATGTTTCAGGATACATAATCAACATATAAAATAAATATTTTTATATATACAATAATGAACTTACTGAACACAAAAAGAGAAAAAATATTCCATTCAAGTCCATTCCCCGTAGAGGGATACTCTTTTATATAGACACACAGAGGAAGGCCAAGGCCCTGCCCCAACAGATGAATAGAAAAGGAAAATGCATTATATATGACAAAGGAATTTTACTCAGGCACAAACAGAAAATGAAATACATGAAAATTATGGAACTGAAAATATGTTAACTGGAGTAACCTAGGTTCTTATGTAGAGTCTAGCTCCTAATTTTTATGTATGTGTATTTTTGTAAGAATAAGTGAGCTATGAAACTAGAAAAAAGCCAATTTGAAGTAAAAATAAGTAGTGTGTTATGTGTGTGTGTGTGTGTATGTGTGTGTGTATTTAGTATAATATACATGTGTATGCACATGCTTGCCTGTGTATGCTCATGTGGAGACTAAAGGTCTTCTTTAGATATTTTTCTATTGTTCTCAACTTTTTTTTGGAGACAGTGTCTCTCAATGGCCTGAAGCTCACTATTTTGAATTGACTGACTGGCCAACAAGACCAGAGGATTCACCTGTCTCTGTCCCTGAACACTGGTTACAGATTCTCATTATTGTGTCTGAATTTTATGTCGGTAATAGGAATGTGAACTCTGCTTTTGTTTATATACCAAATACATTAACCACTGAGCCATCTACCTAACCATCCCTCCAAACAAAACAAAGAAAAACTAGTGTTAAGGAAGGAGCAGAGGAGGGAAATACAACACATGTGACATGAAATGGTAACTACAGGAAGGAGAAGGATACAAGTAGCAGGAGGACAGAATGCAGTGGGGAAGAAAAAATCAATCAAAACAAAGCATGATGAATATGTTATTTTGAATGATAATTATAATTAAATAAAAGTAGATAAAAGAAGTGCTTTGACTATCATTCAAACATGTCATTGAAGTTGTGAGGAAATTAAAGTCCAGTAACAGATGATGATTTGACTAACTTTACCATGTTAACTTTTCTGTGACTAACATAAAAAATTACCTCAATTTTTGTATATTAAAATGGCATAAACATGTTATCTTATACTTATGGAAAAAATCTGATATAATAATTAGTGAGCTTAAATCGGGTGCTAGTAGTGCTGTAGTCCTTCTGGAAGCTTTGTAGAAGAAGCCATTCCCTGATACTTTCCACTATATACAAGTTATCCACATTCCTTAGCTCATAACTTCTTTTATCTCTTTTCAAAGTTATCAATATAATGTGTTCAAATCTCCCTCTGACTCTTAACTTCTCCCTTATCTCTTACCTTCACTATTAAATCAATCTTTATGATTACATTGAGCTCATCAAAAACATTATTGATAATCTCCTTATTTTAACCACAGGTAGCTACCAATCTTAATTCTGCCTTTAACATTAACTCTTCTTTGTATTACATATAATTCTAGAAACCCATTAGCAAACATTTTTTGAGGGAGGACCATTATCTGACCTATATGACCATAGAGCAAATAAATAAGACTGAGGGTTGGAATCTTTATACAGTGTATTCCTTCAACTATGTGCGTGCCTATTTTAGTTACTTATTTCATTTCTGCAACAAAATACCTGACAAAAGCAATTTAAGGAAGAAAAGGTTTACTTGGGCTCAAGGGTACAGTTGATCATGGCAAGGAAGTCGTGGCAAACAATCACATCATAGCTACAACCAGAAAGCAGAGAATGGTCATCTTGCTTTCTCTTGTTTATTCCATCCATGATGCTAGCCCATGGAAGTATGGTGCCCCCAGTTAATGCTTAGAGGCTTGTCTCCTATATTCCAACCATGATGCTAGCCCATGGAAATATGGTGCCCATGGTTAAGGTAATGCGTAGAGGCTGGTCTCCTAGAAGGATCTAGTTCCTTTCAGGTTGACAGTATTAACTCTCAAGGTACCCCAGATTTCTGAATGGAAATATATTTGATGAAAGAGGAAGCTGGGAACTTGAGCCAAACAGTACTATAAAGAAAATAGTCTTTATGGCTTAAGTAAGTTGCCAGAATCTCGCAATTCTGAATAACTGATGAGTCAAAATACCACTTTTTTATCTTAAGGAAAAGTGAAAGCCTCCTGTCTTGGCCCCACGGAAAGAATGAAAATGTGACTGTCGCCACAAAGAGCAATCAACTTGTGGGACTATGAGAATTTGTTTTGACATTGCATCTCTGACATTTATCAAGATTTTCTAAAGAATGTGGGATTTTATTTTTCTCTCTGGCAAGCTCAGAACGTCAAGATGCTCTAGGCTGATACTTAGAGTTTCTGATTTGATCTTTTTTTCCCAAGCCCAATTTCTGTTTATTTGTCTGCTTTTTAAAAATTTAGTGAACTTTTTATGGAAACATAGTATATGAATAATGTATAGGTAAATTAAATATTTAAAAATCTAAAATTTAAAAATCTAAAAAAATGTGCATACTTTACAACCACCTTACCTGCTGTCTAATTCACACCAAATGATTTATTTTCCTAGTCACTATTGCCATGTATTATTTTAAGCTGTTTTGTATTCTTATAAAGGAATAAAATAATGTATTTTTGTAGCTGGTTTCTTTTACTTGGTGTGTTTATCAGAGTCAGTGGCAGTTTCTTATGAATACACACACACACACGCACACACATATACATATGTGTGTGGTTATATGCAAATATATTTCCATTGATAGAAAAATGGTTAGTGTATATGTGTGTGTGTATTTAACAATGAATTTATTTTATTCTTGAATGTGAACTGAAAATTTTCCCATTTGAACTATTACTAATAATTCTTGGAAAAACAATATTGCATCATTGACACATATAACACTGGCTGTACAGGAACCTACCATGTAGACCAGGTCAACCTCAAACTCACAAAGATCTGCCTGCCTCTGCCTCCCAAATGCCTGGATTAAAGTATATACCACCATTACCACCCCATCTTGTCTTTTAAAAAGAATATTACATAAGCATTCAAAACTTTTGGCATAACTACTTGATTCTGTTGAATTTCATACATATTTAAAATATGATCATGTCTCATTTCTCTCCTTCAACTCCAAACACATATTCCACAAACTGACCCCCTCCTACTCCATGTTTTCATTTAAGACAACCCACTAACTCTGATTAGTAACATCCAGATGTACATGAGTTTGGGTCCACCCACTGGCATGTGGGAAACCTCTTGGGTGGAGCACACTGAAAAAAAGAATAATTGTCTCTCCTCCAGAAGCTATCTTCAGTAAAGACTAGGGCTCTTTACCACATATGCAATAAACTTTTGGCTTGATCTTACATCAGTCTGAGCAGATAACTATAACTGCTATACTGCTACGAATTCATTAATTCAATAGCCTTGTCATGTCCAGAAAACATCATTTCACAGAACTCTTCCTCACTGCCTAGCTCTTAATATTTCTGCTATCTTTCATGATGTTCTTTGGGCCTCCCACCTCCCCATCCCGTGTGTGTGTGTGTGTGTGTGTGTGTGTGTGTGTTAGAAATGAGCACTTGAGCTTGAGAGATGGCTCAGAAGTTAAGAGCACTGGCTGCTCTTCCAGAAGACCCGAGTTCAATTCCAGGCACCCATATGGGAGCTCACAACTGTTTGTTACTCCAGTTCCAGTAGATCCAACACCCTCACATAGACATAAAGCAGGCAAAACAGCAAAGCACACAAAATAGAATTAGACATGAGTCCTCAGTCTCTTCTCAACACTTTCACCAAAAATGTATCTCTGTATTGATTGCTGTCAGATGCAAAATAAGCTTCTCAGTCCAATACTGAGAGAAGCCTAGTTCTATGGGTATAATTTTTAGATAGAAAATTGAATATTTGCAAAAATAAAAACAGCAAGAACTACTCTAGAGTCTATGACACACCCCATCCCACCCCCTGCCACGAAAGGTACCTATTGACCAGGATTATAGTACCAGGCATGACATTCCTTCCTGTGCAACAGCCCTCAGTTCCAATAGAAAAGCTCTTAGTTTTTCTATTCTGGTCTTGCTACTATCATGCCATGGGCACACCTTCCTTGGTGTGTTGGTAAGGTAATGTGCAAGGTCCAGCAGTGGGTAAGGACTTTGACTGACCTAATTTTTAACCAAATACTACTTAGTCTTATTTTACCTTTTAGGAAGGGAACTGGCAACCTCTGCCATCATCTGCATTGCCGTCCTTTGCTGCATAGTGGTTGTCACCATAGCTTATATCATGTTCTGTTCCAGAATATGCCAACAAGGTGAGTGATAAATAGGTATAGTTAGCTTTTGTTCATTCATTCTTTTCAACAGTATATTTATCTATATACTACATAAGATAGTATGCCTAACATTCCAATGAGCTTGAAGACTACTTTTAGAGTAATGGTAGAATTAAAAAGAGACAGATAGGGTCTCTGCAAATAATGCATGTCATATCAAACAGAATATAATAATAAAGGGTACCCAGCCAAGTGCAACTATCATTGTACTGAATCATTTTACAAAACTGGAAGAGAAGTTGCTTGCAATTTATATGAGGATTTCCAATTTGAAGCTAATAAATTATCAATAGCATATATACTAGAAAGATTATGATTCAAATTGTAGAAAAGACAATACTGAGCAAATACTGAAGAGAAGAGAGTCAGAGCTGTAATATTCACTTTCAACAGGTATAACTGGATCTAGGTAATACTGAATGAAGGCAATATGTGAAGGGACAGTATTCCAGGACAGTGAAACCAAATGGGTAGAAGTATAAAGGCTTAAACTGCAAATGCAGGTGGATCATCACAAAGGAAAATGCAGTTAGTTAAATGATAATGAAGTACAGGGGGAAATGAAGGTTCCCTTCTAATCATAGCAAGTTTTGAATTCCAGCATAAAGAATTTCTTCACTAGCCCTTGCCATGACCCTAAGATTAACCTAATTGTTATGATTAGGGAAGTAGCACAATAAAGAAGTTACTGTCATAGCTATTTAATGAGTATGGAAAACATAAAGTTGAGGGGAATCAGGTTGGTTGTTTCTAAGAAAACCTTCATTACAATTCAGTACTCCTACACTAGTCATTTTGCTTAGAGTTAGCTTGTCTATTTTTCTGTATCTTAAGTTCATAAGCATCTTTCTGCCTTGGATTACTTTAATCAAATAGAAGGGAATCTTGTCCATCTCCTTTCCCAGGGTCTGAAGTATAACCTATGTTGTTGGCCATTTACCATGACTGTGACCCAACAGGATGGTCTTGGGAGTGGAAATTCCTCAAATGGCCACAAATACCTGCTCCATAATCTTGTTGAGACTAAAACAGTAACTATACATTATTTGCCTCTTAAACTATCTCCAAATGTTTTATAGTTCCTAGTAGCTCAAGGGAATAAGAAGTCACATCATATCATTTTTAAGACCTTCCCCCATTTTCTTCCTGTTCTCTCATACCTTTTACTTATTCTCATTTATAGTCACTAAATTTAAACAAGTAACTAAAACTTTCACATGTATTCATGCTTCATTACTTTTTACCCTTCTTAGTTTGCCTTCCACGAGTTCCTGCTTTCTGTTTCTCTTTAAGAAAGACCAACTTCCAAGCAGTAATGTAATTTAGTCTGTAGTTACTGAGCATAGTTTGTATTCCATATACTGTGTATATAAAGACAAAAAACAAAAAATAAAAAAACAAACAAAAGATCACAGACTTGAAAGTACAGAATCTCCCACTCCAATGGGGGAGATAAAACATGAGAATCTGGGTCTCTACAAAACAGAACTTCTGTAGTTTGCATTATTATCTTTCTTGTAATTTAGTGCATGAGTTTTCAGCTGCTACCATGAAAGACAATAAGCACCCAGAGGAAAGAGTAATCAAGAAATACCAATCTTTGTGCTAGCATAATCCTCTAGAATAGAGGACAGTACTCCTCCAAAGACACTAGGGGGCAATGATTATCTAGTCATGGTCCTTTTAGTTTTATGATTTTTAAGTAATTTTGTTTTATTAATTCAATGAAAAACAAACTTTTCCATATATGATATAAACCCTTCCCCACACCAAGCAATATCTTCAGCCTGATGTTCTGATACAGAAATGAGATCAAGCATATGTACCTTCCACTTCTGTGACAAATCCATATCCCTGTATTTCAATTCATGACAATAACTCTCAATATTAGGAAGCTGGTACCTTGAATTATCTTCTGTTTTCTTTCCCTGGTTTTGGACTGATACCGAGCTTTCATGCTTAGCTCTTGTCTACTCTCCAAATAAGTTTCTAACATATTTCTTCATTGTTTTCCAGAGCATGTCTATGAAGTGAGCAGGTAAGATACCATCTCATTTTCTAACTTATTAAACCATTCCTTGCCATAAATTCTGTTTATCAGTGGCAGAAAACCTGGAGACTAATCCTAACAGAGTCCCTCAGGGTCAGAAAATATTTTACCATCTCAGATGAATATTCTCATGTTGTGTCCTGGATCAATGGATGCACAAGATGATTTACTTTAAGTATACAAACTTTCTGTGCCCACAATCCCTGTCTACCAGGATCCTGAGAGTCGGTGAGTAAGAACTTAGGAGGCAAGATATTAGAAAGCAGGATCTAAGGTCAAGATCTTTCTTATGAGTAACTGCATCTTGGTCCTTAGGGTGTGTGCCAAGGAAACCAGCAACTCTGAAGAAACCACCTTCACAAACGGGTGCTTCAATGTTGCAGCAGATTCCCATGCTCTGATCAATGACTATTCTGATGAGCCTTGCCTGGGACAGGAGTACCAAATCACCACCCAGTTCAACAATGACTATTCCTGAATGCTTCACACTGTTCCAAGAAACTCTGAAGTCCTTGCTACTGAAAACAATAGCATCTGCTAAAATGCTTCACTAAGTGTAGGTCTACTAACATAATTGCCTATGATTTTTTCCATTATTGCCTTTAGCGTAGCTTCCTTCCTTGCTTCCTTGCTTCCTAGATAACCCAAAGTATCAACTCTGCCAGTGTTGGGGCCACTGGGAAATCCTGGTTTGGCTAAGAATTTACCATATGCACCTCAAGAAAGCTAGTTTCTGGGTTTGGCCCTGGACTCTTCTATGTTCCAGCGTGGAGCCTCCACAACTCTTATGCAAACACCAGAGAAATTCCCATAGCACTAGAGGTTCTTCATGTCTCAAGGCATCACCAGAAAATCAGATGAGGCCCAGTCTTACCAACTCAAGCAACCATTTGTATCCATCTTTGTGTCCCTTTCTCTAGGGCCAGGGGACTTTTGATTAATACTGCTAATCACAAGCCAAGGTACAGATCTGTTCCTACACTGTGAATTTAATGCTCCTGTATTCTTTTGGTGTTAATAAATATTTAATCATGACAGCAACTACAGTTGTGTCTGTCTTCTCTCAAGACACAGTAGGACCTACCAAAAATGGGACTAAATATGATGATAAGCACCCCTAGAAATATAGATCACTCAATTTTCTGCATTCTCTGTGGTGTATGTGTGTGTGCATGTGTGCGTGCGTGCGTGCGTGTGTGTGTGTGTGTGTGTGTGTGTGTGTGTGTGTGTGTGTGTTTTACAAGAAATGTAACCCAGGATTAACCAAGTACTCTACCACTGAGATATGTTCTTTTAATCTTTTTACTTTTTATTTGTGTGTGATTCCATTAACTTGCACAGGCTTCCCTTTATTTCACTGTTTTTGCTTTGAACTTACCAGCTGCCTTAGACTTCCGAGTAGCTGGGATTATGGGTCTATAACACCTAGGCCAACCTGTAACTTTGCTCTTCATTGTTATCAGTTTGTTTCTTGGTTACTTGGTCTTTCACATTCCAACCCATGCCATTTCCCTTCTCACACCGTGAATAGCCCTATCTAAAGCAAATCAATCTTTTCTTAATCAGTATTCTACATAATATCTATTCCCCACTCGTCTTTCTTTCAGCTCTATTTGGGGACTCTTACCAGGGCAATGTGAACTTTGACAAGAAGTTCCTCTTCTTTCTCCAATGATTGTGCATGTAGATATTTAGTAGTTTCCTTCCTTTCAAAGTATGTGCATAACACCACTAAAATCTTTGGGCTAGTTGCAATGTTCATTGTTCATCTTCTCTAACTCCTGAACTCGTCTTACAATGTGGAAAGGGTGAAGAGAAAGAGATTCTGCTTTTTTTTTTTTTTTTTTTTTTTTTTTTTTTTTTTTTTGAGGGAAGGGTAGGGAAGGGGGAAGATAGTGGGAGAAGGGAAGGGGAATGAAGGGAAGAACTGTACATTTAAGTACATTTGAAACAAAATCCACTGTGAAGAAATTGTTTGGGGCCAGGTTTGCACTGCTTCTACGTTTCCCTCCATGTATTTCATGTCAAACAACTACCTTACTATTCATGAGAATACTATGTTCCCTATTTTCTGTATATGTATGGAATCAGTTCAGGTTTCAACAAGAGCTGCTCCCACTTTGAACTGATTACAAAAAACAAAATAGTACACAAAAATAAACAAGTAAGAATCCTCCACATTTCGCTCCTACTGATGTTGCCAAGTCCATGTTCAAAACCTCAGCATTTTCTTCTTTTCTGAATGCCAGCTACACATAATTGGTGAAAACAACATCTTCTCCATTTCACTTACAAACATCCACAACAGGTTCCCCACCCAGTAGAAACCTCAGCTTCCTTCATTAAAAATCTCTGAGTCCAGCCCCCACTAACCTTTGAAAACACTCATTTATCTTATTCTGCTTTGAAGAAGAACAAGAACAAGAAGAACAACAAGAACAAGAAGAACATGAAGAAGGACAACAACAACTACAACATCATCATCATCATCCCTGGGCTTGAGATAATTCCATTGTCCTAGTGAAATTAATCACAAATTCAGGGAACCCTCTATGGAGGAACCATCAGGATTATATCCCAGTCTTTCATCTGATCTGAAAAACGTAAAGATTGCTGATCTAAGTAAGCATTCACATATCACAAACTGGGAAATGAAGCACAGAGAGAAATGATGACTTGTCAAAAGCAACATACATCAAGGTAGTGGCAGAACAAAGTCTGAAGTGAAACCTGTGACTTTTTAGCAGTGTGTATACATTGCTGCTTATGTATTCTGAAGGTGGCCTTTGCCCCAAAATTAAGATGATTTTCCATGCAAGATAAGGCAGTAAGTCATTCCTATATAGAACATCAGCCCTTAGACTCTTCTAAGCAAAAATGGAGTAACAAGACAGGTCTTGCCATTTAGGTGGATGGCTTGTGAGTGAAAGCAGGTATCTCCTATCTCTGTAACAAAGGTAAAATATAAAATTTCTCTAGAGAAGCTTCCAAATATATATTATGAGGTGTTAGAGTTTGGAGATAGATGTTGGCAGTCCTTTACTATAGTTCTGTATTAGAAATTCATTCAGTGCCACATTAGAATATTAAAGGCTCAGAAAATTCTGTTAAAATTTTCCACATAAACAAATAATTCCAAAATTTATTTGCCCTCAGAGTCTATTTTTTTACCCTCATTCTTTAGCCCTAAACCTTATTTCTCAGGAAAAATCTCATTTGGCTATTACTTGTATACACTATAGGATTGGAATATCCATGGTTTGATTATTTTTTTCACAAAACCCTGGGTAATATTTAACCAACATACCCAAAAGCAATGGACTAGTACAACATCAGTTAATTGGTAAATATTTATTAAATAAATTATAATGTTGGACAATGGTAGGAAAGAGAGCAATCAAGTAAATATAATATACTCTAGACTCTTACAATGTAATGGGGAATTCAAGAATATACTGTGGAAAAATCCATTGACCATTTAAGAGGATATGTTGGGTGGTAGAAAATACAAGAGTCCATCCCTGTATCTAGTCCAGAAGTAAAGAAAAAGTATAGCCTGACTTTCAAAACTGCCCAGAGAGATTGGAACTTGTGGGGGTGAAAGTACAGGGAACTGAGTGTGTGAAGAGAAGTAGGAAGAATGCTTTAAGAGTGAGAAAAAGATAAAATGTAGATCAAGATGTGCTCCAAAGGCAAGAAAGTGGATTTACTTTCTTTTTTGTGAACATTTATTTATTTATTATCTACACATAATAAATTATGCCTGCTGGCCAGAACAGGACACCAGATCTCATTACACATGGTTGTGAGCTACCATATGGTTTCTAGAAATTGAACTCAGGACCTTTGGAAGAGAAGGCAGTGCTCTTAACCACTGAGCCACCTCTCAAGCCCCCATGGATTTATTTCTATATCCTACTTTCTCATTCAAGTCATGGTTCTTCTATGAAAATTCTGGTGTTCTGGCTGCAAGAAAAGGAATGTGAAAGAAGATATTAATAGACATAATAATAAATTAAATTTTACTTTCTTCCTAGTATCCCTTATGTATTTTCAATATCATTGGGCATTCCAAGGAGTTCTCACAAGGTATGTAGATATATATATCCCAGATTTATAGGCCCCAGAGCTTCATCATTCTTATTCTGACACCCCCTGATTAAATCTTCAAGCTCTCTCAAAGCCATAGAATAATGAGAGAGTTTGGTGTTTCATAAACTTTTGTATATAGTCATCAGGCTATTCCTTCTGTCCTGGGCCTGGAGCTGATAAGCATGAGCCACACTTGGGGTATTTGACAAACTGACACTCTACCACACAGAGTGTCTAACTCAGCTTGTCAAATACACGGAGCGTGACACTGCAGAAGGCCAGGTCTGAAGATTCCACAGGGCAGCAAGACCATCCTGGAAGATATGCACCTGGAAAGAGAAGTAATGTGCTGATTAAGTTATACCCCAAGCCTCGGGCAAATGGCAGAGGCTTGCATGACCAGATAAAACTCCAAAAGAAGCAAATAAGTAAAATAGGCCTAAGGCCCCAAACCAAAACAAGGATTCTGAGTGTTTTCCTGGAGACTCTGGTGGCCCAAGCCAGTGTTAACTCTTCTATCAGCTGAATGGGACCGTTTGTTTGTCATCCTGCCTCCCTGATTTTAAAGGGCTCAGAGATAATATCCTTGTTCCTTTCCCCTACTGACTTCTTTCACTCTGTATTGTCAGCATACCGGTTATGTACCTAGACATTGAGTCTTTAAAAAATGGGCTTGAATTCTAGCTCTGTCATTAACTAGCTGGACACCTTAGTTAAATGATTTTGTGTTCCTGACACCTAGTTTTTTACAGCCACAGGAACATGCTTGAAGTCATTGTGACAATATGTGATAAAGCCATTAATTTAATATCTGTTATATAACAAATGCTTAAAACTTGTTATAGCCAGTTATGATAGTGCATGCCTAAATACTAGTTTTCATGGACAGAGGTAGGGGAGCTTCAGGTTTGAGGCCAACCTGAGCTATGTAATATGACCCTATCTAAATAAAACAAGACCTAGGGATAAAACTCAGGGGTTAACATGTACAAAACTCTGTATTTGATCCCCTGTGCAGAAAGAAAGTGGCTAAAATTAAATGAAATAAATATTAACATGAAAAAATGATTGACAATTTATTTAACAGACCTGAAGCGGTAATTTCTTGGGGCCTTAGCCAGCATTCTCATAAATAGAAAAGAAAGGATACATTAAAATTCCTTTATTAGTCATCATGTTTTACCCACTCAAGAGTATAAATGAGAAAATGGAGTTTAGGGAAAGACTTGCTATAGGTCATACAATAAACTATTTATAGTTTGGAGGTTATGTTGTATATCATCTCATTATATCCTCAGCTTTCCTTGCCATCACTTATTCCTGTCTTTTTGTTATATGCCTCTGCAAAAAAGGGAGAGGAATAGCAACACAGAGCAATGGATTTTGCAGGGCAAAATTAACCTCTTTGCAGTCAGAGACACTAGGGCAGTAAGGAAGCTGCCAGAAGAGCCATACCTAGAACTACTTTGTAATTGTATGTTGCATCACACATAATTAAAAACTCCAGCATGCCATTATTGAATTTGTCCTGCCCAGATCTAAATGTGGGTTTGGAAAAAGTAGAAGGTCTGTATTGATCACTGGCATAAAAAGTGGCAAACATCCCAAAATTACTAAGAAAGGAAACTTCCCTGTATGCTATTTCAGTAAGAATATGCTGGGGTTTTTTTTCTAAACGCTTAGCTGGATGTAACAGGTTAACACATCACTCCAATTTGATGAATTAAAAGCTGAAGATCAAAATTGTCTTTTCTATTCTCTAACTTTTCTCTCCATCTCCAAATTCAGCTTACATCTCCTGTATGTGTGGTATTTTGACAAAGCAGTTGTCAAGGTCACAGTGGTACAGTGGAAAGAATCAGACAAAAATCAGATAGTGATCCTAACCAATCACAGTTGGGATAAGTCTTTGTTAGGCTTCAATTGTCTTCTCTAGAGATAGAGACAAAAGTCTTTCTTGTCAAGGTGGCTGAAAATTGGTGAGATTTCCCTAGCTATTTCCAAAGGTACTTAAAGAGACCTTTCTTCAGAATCTGGAGCTAGTAAAATCCAAGGAAACTGATTAAGAGTTTTAGTTTACAGTGCCAAAGAAAAGAGTTGCTGTTTCCTGTCATCATCTCTACTGCCTGTCAGCTGTTGTAAAAAGAGTTGGACACTCCAGAGGTACCCATAGTCTCCTGGATGCCATATCTGGCCCCCTTCACCCCAGAAAGCTAAGGAAAAAGGTATGAGAGGGGCTAAAGAGTCAGGGCATTGAGTTAAAAAATTATAAATACTGTTTCCCAATACTGATGAAAGGAATTAAGCTGGATGTAGGCCAGTTTCATTTTCACTCTTGATGTTTCAGTTCACACCTGTTCAAAGGAGTACAGAGAAGAAAAGCAAGTTCAGTTGAAATAAAGTTAGTTCAGACCCATAGAATGAAGAGATACATGAGGTAATAGTTGAAGGATTCTTAAACTCTTGTATTTGTCGTTATCCTATTTGAAATAGCATCATTTATCCCCATGAGAGTGCAAAGTCCTCCATTGGATAGCTCCAGAAAGTTGCTCTCAATGAGACCAAGCATAGATCAGTCTTCATGAAGGAAATTGGAAGACATAAACTTGGTAAAAGAACAATGAGGTTTTACTCAAAAATCATCAAGTTTTCAGAATAAGTCATATCAGGAAATAGATTAGTGAAAAAGAAGTACCCAGGACCATGTCCAAATATCCAGATCTCTTCCAATATAAGGAAAGCCTGAGTTGCAGGGCACCTCTTAGTTCTTTGTGTTGTCTCAGTCCTCATACAGCAGGGCAAAAAGAGCACTGGCCCATAGTTATATTGAGCTGTGTTATAGGTTTTCTGTTCCTCATTGACATATTTGTTTTCTTTCTACTCCCAAACTTCGTTCTATGTGACTTTTAGATTCTAAGATTGGAGTAGTGAAATACAAGAGCAGAAAAGAAACTTTCATGGCTCAGCCATACACTTCACATCAACACCAGTTTTCCAGGGTGTGTTTGAGCATCATTCTCATCCCCTTTCTCAACTGAGGGCTGCTAGCCTTCCAAAGAAGAATTGTAGAGATTAAGACAATAGGCAGCACTCCATCATTGTCTTCCTCTTCTCTGAAATTGAGTCCAACACTGAGTGCTAGAATACAGAAATGACTCACTCAACGAAACATGATATAAAAAGAAAAGAATAAAAAATGCTATTCAGAACTCCTAACTCCTGACTCTGAAGAACATTCAACTTTTACATGACTGACTGTCTTCTAAACACCATCATTTGTTAGGAATTATAATGTCCTTTCTCTCAGCTATCATAAGCTCTAGGATAGAAAGCCAATAGAAAACTTCATCTGTCTTTGACCTGCATCCCTAACTATGATCTGTTCATCAGTTAGGTATATCCAAGCTACAGTTGTTGTGGGCACTGCACTGTCTCAGCATGGAAATCTAAGAGAATAAATAAGTACTATACCTGTCATTGAAGTGGTGCCTTTGTCTTCAATGGGATATAGGTACTGAACTGAACTATAGAGATCAGGGGAAGCTGAGCTTTATGTTGTGAGCACAAAGGTCACATGTTTGGAAGGACTCTCTGTGTCATGAAGAGGAAACAGAAATGAGGAAGATAAATTTGAGGCTAACCAACGGAAATCTGGGTACAAATTGACAAAACAGAGCTATTGTGAAAAGAGTTGCTAATGCAGCAATAGCCCCTACTTCTATCTCCAGCCATTCTCAACCAACCTCCAAAGACACTGACTTCCCATGCTACTGAGTGGGAAAGCAGGAAGTAACTAGTTGCCTTTGGACTCTGCCTATGAAGCAAGGAGGTTTCCCTAGAGCAACTTTGGGAATCCTCATATATCAGAGCTATGATATTACCTAATGAAAATCCTTTGTCCAAATTTAAAACTTGTGTCAATTCTGAAATATGACACCACCCCATTTCCATTGAAACTGTGTTCATCTTATTGTGCAAGAATTCCTTCCAGCCCTAGAATAGCATTTTATGTCTTTCCTAGCACAGAGAACCAGCTACACAACTTCCAAGGGCTAGCAGGAAATGATTGTGACAGATTCACCTTTTTAAAGACAAGTTTGTTCTCTTTGAGGTTTGACTGTCATTCCCATGATTCTACATCCCGAACTTTAGGAAAGTTAAAAAAAAAAAAAAAAAGGTAACAAATGGAGAATATAGAAATTTTGGCATTTTGCCTCCAGAAATAACAGCACCTACTTGCTCCATCTTAACACAGTACCTTTGTGGAAGTAGAGGTGGCTGATTTACCAGACATTAGCTGCATGGGGTCTGGGACCTCAGGCCTCTGCAAATACAACACAATGAACAGTTCTCCTTAGAAGCCAGCATCCACTGGGCCATCTTGCAGAGCATGCAATTCAGTATTTCTCCACTGTAGAAGTAAGTGAGGGCAAACTCAGGGCTCAACCCTCACTACCACCTGGAATGTCTTCTCAGGTTGCAGCTTGATTTGAACTTCAAGCTTGCCTTGAGGTACTTAGGAGTGCTGCTATTGGATTGTTCCCTCCTTGTGAGTCTCAGAGACTCTGCATTCTCCCTAGAGATACAGCAAGTGAGACAAGCCATGTTCTGACCAAGCTCCTACAGGGAATATGCTGGTAACTCTCTACCACATGCTGTAAATAAACAGCTTGTCTAAGCAAACAACACTAGGAAATAATAGGGGAGACAGAATTTGCATTCAGTTATTGCTCCAGGTGTTAGGATGTTTTAAAATGCATTATATTAACCACAAAGAAGAAAAAAGTAGCTAAAATAAAAGATTATCTTTAGGTTCAATGTGACAATCAGGATGAGAAAGAGAACTAAAGAGTTTGGGAAGCTGGCGAGTTATATGCTCAAACCCCATGTATGCAGTCTCTGGGAAGTTTTCATTCACAATCAGACAGATGATAGATTCTCATATAGGACTTTGTACCTTAAATTTTAATGACACAGGGGATGAAGAATGGGGAAAGATCCTGTGATGTTTTCAAGATCTACTTAAAACAAGTTTGAATGGTTGCAGTGCTCTGGTTATGCCTAAACTAGTTCAAATAAGATCCTGGACAATATTCAAGCTGTTGTAAATAATTGATTCATGACATATAAAGATTTTAAAGTTCAAACTCAAACCAAAAAAACACATATCCTGAGAGTTAAGAGTGTGAGGATCTAGTCTCAACTCTGTTCCTTCTCTAAACAGCATAGTTGGGAGTCATTGTTGTTCTCAGCATCTCTGATTCAAGCATTCCACGGTTCCTTTATTAATGACTAGATACCTAATCCTCTATTTATCATGTGTTTCCCTGTGGTTACAGGGCCTAAGGCTCTGAGGATAGCCTAGAATAGGGATCAATTCACATTTGTACTATTTTGCAAATAATTTCCTTCCACCAGAATAATTTATTAGCTTAGGCCCTGAGAACAGTGTCTCCATATTTGGCTTCTAGAAAGATATGACTCTTGTTTCTTTGGGGTTTATGACTAAAACTTGGAATAGAAGCATAGCAGTAAGCCTTTTTCTAAGAAGGGACTATGTTCTCTCAAGTAACTCTTGAAAAATTACATTGAGCAACCCGTTGCTTTTGTATGCCCTAAGTTAAGATATTCTAGTGGCTATTTTGTTTTCTTGTGTGTGTGTGTGTGTGTGTGTGTGTGTGTGTGTGTGTGTGTGTGTGTGTGTGTGGTGTTGAGGATTAAGATCATGACTAATTCATGTGTTAGACAGGTGCTCAAACTGTCTGAGCTGTATTCCTAGCCAACTCCTCTGGCTTTTAAACAATATATTTCTGGAGAAAATGACTTCGTTAAAGAAATAATTAATGGTGTCCATTTTCAGAACCATAGAAGGTCCATGAGAGAGGATTAGGAGCCAGGTAGATGTGGTTTTTTTTCCATCTGTGAAGAGAATATGAAGGAGAACAAAGAGTACTGAATGCCTGAACGTTCCTCTTTATCCCACAAGCACAAAACATGTTGGTAAGTACCCATCTTGCAGCAACAGCACAAAGGGGTTATTTATTTTATTTTTATTTTTTGAGCGAAAGTCTCTCTTTTAAATATCAGGCTTTCAGGGCCTTTCTCAGACTATCCTCTAACTCAGACTGAAGCAATCTCTCTGCCTCAAACACTAGGAATACATGTTATGTGTCACCACATCCAGTGAAGGGGGTCTCCTTCATTATGCCTGCTGTCCAAGCTGTTTCTCAGAGCAATGGGACGTCAAACAGATTTCCTATTTGAGGTGTTGTCTTCCATGGCTGTGTTTGGGATGGTAGAAAGATAAGAAGAAGTAGAATTTGCAGGCACTGCTGGGGACCCAGTGTGTGTGTGTGTGTGTGTGTGTGTGTGTGTGTGTGTGTGTGTTCATGTACTCACTCAGTGCTAAATGAGAGAGAACACCGAGACAGAGTCCTTCAACTCAGCTCTGTGATTCATTAACTTTATGGCCTTAAATAATCATGTAATAGCTAAGCCTCCATCATCAGATCTGTTTCAAGGATTCTCAGGCTAGAAAACAGAAATGTATGAAAAAAAAAAAGTGCTGCTCTATAGAATGTGACATGTTGATATCTGATAAAGGTTTAAAGTGCTATCAGTTCTTTCAGGATGGAAGACAAAGAGTTGACAAGTTTGAAAGATTGTCAGAAAACTAAGGTATGTCTTAAAGGGGAGATAAATATGATGCCGTTAGTCACTAAAATTTCCTATTCATAACCTCCAATGAAGTTAGTAGTTGCCCACCTATCCCTTTGCATCTCTTTTTATTAGAAACTCAAAGGACAAAGGGATCAAAACCATGCTGGGGAAACTCACAGAAACAGCTGACCTGAACAACTAGGAGCACACAGACCCCAGACTGACAGCTGGGGAACATTCATAGAACTGATTCAGGCTCCCTGAATGTGGGTGTCACCTGGGAGATCAGGACAGTCTATGGAACCTCTGGTAATGAGTGGAACCAGTATTTATACCTACTGCACGAATGGACTTTGGGAGCCGATTCCCTATGGAGGGATGCTCTCTCAGCCTAAATACATGGGGGGGGGGCTAGGTCCTGTCCCAAATGATATGACAGACTTTGATGATCCCCCATGGGAAGCCTCATCCTCTCTGAGGAGTGGATGTGGGAGGACAGGAGGGAGAGGGAATTGGGATTGGTCCATAAAATAAGATTGATTTTAATTTCAATTAAAAATAAAAATAAAAAATAAAAGAAACCCAAAATAAGGACTACTTCTAATCCTTCACTGTCTTCTCAACATAAGGGGTTAAATGTTTTCTCCAGGACTATCAGTTGAGTAAGTGAATGACAAAGTGCATAAGCAGATGAGGAAGATCACCTGGTCTTAACTCTCCAAGATCCTTAGCTTATTTACCTCTATGTGGGAACCAGGAAAGCACCTTTTGACTTGAGTTCATTTTCTTGGTCATTTTACCTCCACCTCTTTCAGAAAACCTTTTAAAGAAAGAATACGAAGACAATTGCAAAGTTATGGCCACTTGCTATGCAAGAGATGGCTGATGTCCACACACTCCACCCCAACCTCGATGATTGCTCTGCACAGGATTGCACTGGGCTTCCTGTAAGAGGAAATGTACAGGCTGATGCAATGCATATGGCACACTCAGGTGTAAAAGACCATCTTTTACACCTGAATCTGGGGACAGAGGTTTCACTGAAGGTCCAGTCCATACACAGCCAGTGGTATCGGTAAAAGAATTTTCATCACTTAAATCAACAACAGCTGAAATTTATTCAATAAAGTTACATCAAACATTACTGCACACAAAGCTTTGCATTTGGTACCAAGGGAAAAATTAATATATACCGATAAAAATAAGCAATAATTTACTAGAAATATAATGTGGCCACAACATGTTAATAACCACACTTTTCTTTCAGGACAGGGTTTCTCTGTGTAGCCTTGGCTATCCTAGAATTCTATTTATAGACCAGTCTGGCCTTGAACTCAGATATCTGACTTCTTCTGCCTCCCAAGTTCTGGGATTAAAGCCTACAATATAAAGGCATGCACCATCATTCCATGCTATTTTTAACATACATGTGAGGGTTGAAGGTCATATCTCAGTGCTTGTCAATATGCCTAATTCCAGCCAAAGGACCAAAAATGAAAAAGTACAGTGAATAAATGACCTACTGATACCTATAGATGTATTAGAATAATGAAGTAAATCATTGGATCTGCCAAAAGATTTGTTTTGAACTATAACAAAAATAATGAATAATTTTTTGAGCTCATGTGAGACACTCTTTCAATGGTTTAATATATATTTTTATATATTAGTAATTATATATGTAATTTTTTAGCATAGCCTAATGACTAGATATTGCAATCATCCATTTAAAATATACCATTTGTTTGAGAATTTCACACAATGTATTTTGATCATATTCACTCCCCATTACTCCTCTCAGATCCACTGCCACCTCCCTAATCTTATTCAATAGATGGCATAAGTAATATCAC